AGGATTTGATAGAAGCCATCCATCAAATCCATGGACGAAAAGATGGTACTCTTTGACATACCATCAATGATTACGTCCTTCCTCGGTATCGGCGTCTGAGCCGGTACCGTTGCAGCGTTCAATTTGTTGAACGCGTGCACTATCCGCCACCCTCCTGTTGCTTTTCGCACACAGAAGGTCGGAGAGCTATGTGGGGAAGTTGATTCCCTCACATGGCCCGCAGCTAAACGATCGGCAAAGAACTTGTCGATCGCAAGTACTTGTTCACGAGGCAGTGGCCACTGCTTCATGACACAGTACTTCGAGCCTGGTTTAAGCTCGACCTCGTGTCGAATACCTTTATCCTTCGGTAATTCGCACGGAACAGTTTCAGGGAATACATCCTTGAATTCAACCAAATCTTCATAGAGAGGATTTTTCTTGAGCGATTCCCATGATTGGGAGTCATATCGCTCAATTCGTGTCTTTTCATCTAGGACACTCTCGTCCATAGATGAACTACTGAGAACTCTCTCGTTCTCAGTGAACACTGTTGCTGACCTTATGTCGGTTACACACTCGTCGTCAGCGACGAGTATGCAGATCTGCTTGACTTTGCTACTACGCAGATCACGCAAGAACCTTTTATGTTCGAGCGTTGGCAACTGAGTGATCTCCGAAGTTAACTTCGGAGGCGCAATCAGATCAAGTGTATAAGTGCCTACACTTGATCCGTTATTGACTATGACATTTAATGTCTCTGTCATTTCCTGGGGACTTATTCCCTCAGGCTTCGAAGGACTTATTCCTTCGTCTTCCCGGGGACTTATTCCCGCGGGTTTCGGGGAACTTATTTCCGCCGTATTTGTAATCTTGGGACTTATTCCCTTTACTTCCTCTAGCTGTAGTTGCGCAACCACAGCGAGATCCTCTACGAAAGACTCTCCAGTCGATCTAGGATTATCGTTTCGCTTAACCTGAGCGACCGATTGTTTCTCTTCTAGATGTTCCCCGCTAGGGATACATCTTTGTCCCAGTCCACCCGACTTATTCGAGTGGTGGACCTTCGGCGCAGCCTGTGTTTCCTCACAGCCGCCGGAACTTTGCTCCGAAGTGTAAACGTTTGGTACACTAAGGTTTTGTGCAGTCGTACTAACGACCGTACCACAAGTGAGGCCATCGCACTCACTCGTAGTACATCCACACGCTTGTGGACGCTCCAAAACGTTCATCAGATGGCCATCTGATGAACAAGCGGCAGGCATCGTTACTGTCCGATGTTGTCAGTTTACCCGTGGTTCGTACCTTCTGAGCCACGGTATTCCAAGGATGACATCAAATTTGTCATCCAAATCCAATACGATAAAGTCATCGTCATATTGTGTATCTTCTAGCGTATAGTGGATCTTCACTATACGCTTCATGACGGTTACGGATGCGCCTGTCGCAAGACGTACCGTCATCCTCGTAGGAGGTGTGTCACATTCACTGAATTTAAAGCGACCATCTTCTAGCGATTGGCATCGCACAAAATTGTTGGACGCCCCACAATCGACTAGAGCTCGAAGGGACAACTTATTCGTCACTTCGAGTTTCAAGGTAATGAGTGAGACCTCATTACCTAGAGCAGCAACGCACAACGTTTGTGTGTTGGGAGCAACCTTCATCAAGAGGCCTACAAATTCTCTTGACGTTGCTGGATCAGTAGGGTGCTCCGCACCTACTGATCCTGTCCGTTTTTTGACGGTCCATCCCGTTGTTGCGTCTTTGCACCAACTGCGGACCCTCGTCCCTGCCCCTTTCTCATGGGTGGACGGTCACTACGCCCAGTGTCGCGAGACACTGGACGAGGGGCACTACACTCGTAAGCGTAGTGTCCTGTCTTTTGACATCTGTTGCATCTCTGCAACTTCTTGTAGCCTGTAGAGCGAGCCTTCTCGCTCTCTACATAACAGAGTTCCATCGGCTCTGGACCTCCGTTGTCATATCGTCTCGGTTGACGATATGATGTCGAGCTGGCGCGAGCCTGTCTCAGACTGAAGTCTTCCTGCTCCGCAATGGAAATGGCTTGTTCTAGTGAATCTAGTTCAAGCCGGAACAGGTGAGTCTTGACGGGACCATCCGCAAGACCCTGCATGAACACCGAAACCAACGTGTGTTCATCCACCGGATTGGAACTTATACAACTCGTGAGATGTCGTATATGTTGAGCGTAAGCGTGCACATCACGCTTACCCTGCTTGAGCTTCAAGAGTTCGGTTCGAGCCCTGAACTCAGCTCTAGGCGGTTCAAACGTTTGTCTGAGCCGCGACTTGAAGACTTCCAACGACCCAAACGCATATGGGTCGTGCAACTTGAGCCCCAGTGCCCAAGTCTTGGCACGTCCTGCCAGATTTGACTGGGCAAATGCAACTTGCATTTCCCCGTCGTCGATGCGACGCGCCCTTATGGCGTCATCCAATTCGACGAACCATCTCAAGAGGGAGTCTTCTTCGACCCCCCTATACTTGGAGATGTCAATCTTCAAAGTCTCGGGTCGACGCGAGTGCATCGACCCACCAGCAGCAGCCTGCTGCTGTCTCAACAGTTCAAACTGTTGAGCACCCTGTTCTCTCAACAACTCTGCTTGTTGAGAACCTTGTTGGTGAAGCAAGGCTACTTTCTCGCGTTCTGCGTCAAGTTCATTTTGAATGAACTTGGCGATAGTAGCATGTTGGGCATCTCTATTGAGAGCCTCTAGCATGACGCTAACAGCATGGATGCCCATGGTCGAACCCATTCGTTCAACCGCATCCCATTCGACATCGCTCAAATGGGAGTAGCCGTCACGCGTAGCGTGAAAGCTTTGGTCATCTTCATCATCCAACATATTCATGTTGGATGTGAACGCGGTCCTTGGACGGACTACGAAGTGCTACCAGGTGTAACGGGGCACCCTGAAGCTTGTACTGGTGACAGTACAAGCTACTTATTCTGATAACAGAATAAGGCGGTGCCTCGTAACTTCACGTACACTCGTACGTGCAGAGGAAGACGGTAAGAAGAAGCGAGTACTTGGTTAAAGTAAAAAGTAGAACTGTATTTATAATAGTTAATGTCTGCAATAAATCACTATTTATCTTCATCTAACTATGTCTAAATACAAATATGTAAATCAGTTATCTGCTCACCACTCATTGCGTGCGTCTGTCGTGGCGCGTCTTCGTTGGTTGATATAATGGCCTATATCAACCAATTAGGAACTACTTGTAAGTGCTACAGAATATTTGTCCTTATGACAATATTCTGAGAATATCACTCTTATAGTTATATTCTATTAACAATTTCTTATAAATTGTTATGTAACGATTCACCCCGTTACAATATCAACCAATTAGGAACTACTCGTAAGTGCTACAGAATATTTGTCCTTATGACAATATTCTGAGAATATCACTCTTATAGTTATATTCTATTAACAATTTCTTATAAATTGTTATGTAACGATTCACCCCGTTACAGCAGCGGTAGCCATCTCATCTTCAGCATCATTTTTATGTGTCCTCGTCTCCTATAACAGGGCACGCCCTTGTGTCGGCTGAACACCAAGTTGCGTGATCCTGTCGTCACGTACACGTGGCTTAAGGAAGCGCAGCGAAGTAAACAGAAATCGGAAGCTCTGTTGGAGAAAAAGTAGAACTGTAATTAATGTCGTTATGTTTCTTTAGTAAATCGTCTTTATCAATTCAACTAATCTAAATTGTAACATCCTATATCGGTTTCTCGCTCACCACCCATCGCGCGCGTCCAGCAGCGATTGGTAATTAATTTGGTTGAAGTGGTATCTACTTCAACCAAAGTGGAGCACCCCATAATATTACCTCCGGGAGCAATATTCTGCCAACATCACCTCTTCTCAGTGATGTCGATTGAAGATCATCAAAATAGATAATATTTAAAATTGATACATTCGTTACAATTTTTATGAAACGTTCTCACCCCGTTACATCTCCAGCATTATTTTGATGTCACAAAAAGCAGAGGGGGTGACGAGAAGATAGAAGGATACACCTCCTTTTTGTATAAAAAGTAGGTACTGGCGGTAAACAACAATAGAAGTGAGCATCTCTTCTCTCATCAGGATTCGAGTACTACATGTACACACTCTACTTATGCAGACACTTAAAATTTATGATAGTACCTTCAGATGTTGTCAACCTTCGAATAGTGCCACGGAAATCTTGTACAAATACACTTGTGCATAAAATGCTCAACCCCCAAGCGTGAAACGATTATTTACACATACAAGTATCGACCAAGCCTTCTGGTGTAATTGCAGTTGTACCTACAAATATGTCGAACGAAGAGTTGCTCGAATTTACTTGTCCTCACAAATCTCCGGTCAGCGATCGTGCACATATACACTTACAGCCACATATTGTTCTGATTACAACTGTATTTATTTGAAGCCACAAAAAAAAACTTGTATTTGTACAATGTGTGCAATACTTGAGGCACGGTCATTTAAATTCTAGAAGGGCGACCCCTAATTAGAGGGATTCAAGTACCCCAAAATAGATAATCGGAAATTCACGTAGCTCATACCCCGGCTAATTCATAGTATTTGTCTCCGCCAATCCTACGAGTTATCCGAGAAATGACTGCATCTAGAGCCAGGCCAAAGCCATCTGTGTTTGGAGAAATGTGAAGGATCATGTGCGATCAGCAAATGTCCCACCCTCGTTCCATTCACCCCTCACCCCTCTCCATCTATCCCGACCATCATCAACTAATCAAATGCTTGGAATAAGCTGCTGTTAAGGCCATGTCTTAAATCAGCTGCGACATTGTTTGAAACGTCTATGACATGGTCTGCAACGACACTAACAAGGGTTGTAGTCTTCAGGAAAGTATGAACGAACATCACTGACAGTAACACGTTTATATGCAGAATGACCGACAAGCTACTTGACTTCAGCATGGCGACTCGTCGAGTTTCCGTAGATGCTGCCAAGCATTTAATGGTCAGGTGCATTCTAAAGTCAATACTCCGCGACATACAGACAGACGGCTGTGCCAATCTCGTACGAATTGCCCGTATACGACAGCAACCCCGTGTCGCTGTCCACTTCGAATACAAACATGTCGCTCGAGTTCTGGTTCGCTACAATGAGCCACTTGTCGTACACCGTAAAACCCCGAGGAGCTTCACCACGGGTGCTCTCCCATCCAAGCGGTGCCAAAGTACCGTCTTCCTTGTCAATCTTGAACATAGCAATAGAGTCGTGGCCGCGGTTCGACGTGTACAGGAACTTTCCGTTGCTCGACAAGTGGATGTCAGCACTAGTGCTGGAATTCTTATAGCCACGCGGAAGCGTCGTAATGTCTTGCAACGATTTCGTGGACAACACATCGCCCTTTTGGTTGATTTTGTAGACGCCGACGGTGTTCGATAGCTCGTCCACAACGTAAGCAATCTTCCCCTCGCTGCTAATCTCCATGTGGCGCGGACCAGACCCAGGCGGGCGCCTCACAGCTTTTAGACTCTTCAGCGTCCGCTTCTTGGTGTCCAGATCGTACTGCAGCAGCTCATCGCTGCCCAAGTTGGCAACCACGACGTGGTCTGAGTTTGGCAGCCACGTGGAGCTGTGGATGTGGCCCATGGTTTGTCTTTCCATGAAGACGTTGCTGCCATCCAGATACTCCTCGAAGAACGTCGCACTGCCGAGAGAACCGTCTTCATTGATCGGAAACATGGTGAGGCTGCCACCGTAGTTGGAGACAACAACAAAGTCCTCCTTAGGGCTCAAGGAGATGTGCGTGCTCGATCCACCGAGCGTCTTGCGTGTGTTCAGGACCTTCAAAGTGCCGTCATTATTCAGCGTGAGAGCCGAGACGTAGCCCGTGTACTTGCCAGGGAAAGCTGGAACCTCTTCATCCACCGAGTTGACGGCGTAGATTACGCGCTGGCCCGTGTTGAACTTCCTTGTAGTGCCCTGGACGTAAATCGGGTTGATACCAACAGGCGTGACTGCCCAAGGCGTGAGGGACCCATCGCTCGTGTCCAGTTTGTAAGTGTAGATGCCCTTGCCTGTGCCGTTGACCCACCCTTCATCACGCGTGAAGGTTCCTGCGAACAGAATCGGTTGCGTCATTGGCTTCTGCTGCTTGGGTGATCCAGCTGAAGCGCTCGTTGCGGCGGCCACAAAGCAGAGGAAGACGCGCGGGAGGTACATGCTGACAATTGACCTGGTCCTTCGTTCCGTTGGCTGCTTGTGCTCGGTATCGGAGATTGACGAATGAAGCAATTCGTACAATCGGAAAGACGATCAACTCTCGAGATCAAGGAGAAGGTCGACGGTCACGCTCGTCGTGACGTGCTAAAACCTTGACCGGTTTCGAAAGTTTTGCAGTTCGTCAGGATTTTGCAGCACGTCAGGGTCCGCATCTGAGCATTTACATAGTTAGTCGCTGGGTTGAGACTTGTCATGCATAACCAGACGAGCTTCAGTGATTATGGCAGGTCGCGAGCTTGTCGTAATCGGACACGACTGGCTCTTCCCGTCTAAAAATTTCAAAACCGTTTGCTGGCGAGGAAACGTCAGATCGTGACCGCTTTGTCGCCAATATCATAGGAACACGCAAGGCACCTTGCAGCTACCGCTAGAGCAGCAGACTAGAACCTCGTGCAGCAGGAAGTGTGCACCGACTCATCCGAATAGGTACGTTTCTGGTCAAAGAGCATCAACAATGCGGTGCAGGACGTTGTTATCAATCGCAGCTACTACAGATTTAAAGGTTTCCGCACTTTAGACTTTACACCCGATGACGCCAACCTGCTGGATGGTACAGACAAATCGATTCTTTGTAGAATGTGAACGAGCACGACAACTGATTCTGTATTTAGCTGGTCTCATGCGAAAATGGATGCACTACTGCCCCAAGTGCTCTCCGTAGACCTATTGCCGCTGAATTCTGTCGAAGACAACCCATTCACGCAACTGATGTGGGATATCATGTCCCACTCGTATGCGATGAGCACGTGCTGAAGTTTCGAACCCTGCAGGATAAAGTTCGATCCCCCAAAAAACAACATAAAACAGTGGTTTCGATCTTGGTAGCTATGCAACGTAGTTGTAAATCCTGAACGTCGAGTAAGTGCTTATGCCCTTTACGATATCGGTTTGCTGCAACCTAAACAACAACATCATCATCTTCTCCTTGCTGCCTTAGTCTGCTTGGCGCGACTCTTCGGTCGTCACGGGGGACACTTCGCAGAGGGCACATGGAATCGATATCCAGCCCAGGGTACAGACAGGGCGCTGAAGTCGCAGGAAACGCCGGGAACGAGAGGATCACCCCCGATGGGCCGCTGACACACCTGGACTGGGCTGATTTAGATCACGTTCTAGGCGAATTCGTTTCGTGGGCTCGGGAGTCATGCTCGGCGACCTGGCCGGCCTCTCGAAGGCTGACGTAGAATAGCAGGTACTGTGGGATTGTAAAAGCTGAAGAAGGGGATGCTGTGAAAGTAGAAGGAACATTATTTTAGGGTATTTGTAAAATGCTCGGTCTTTTTTAGGAAATGCTCGGTCGTTTTTGTAAAATGCCCGCATTCAGACGATTACTTGTATGTCTCTTTTCTGGATGTTTGCACTCCTCTTACTTTACAGGTCAACAGTGCTACTGCACCTTTTTCGTTTCCTAGATTCTATCTTCATCACGGTCATCGTGGCTTGACGTTCCGTAGCAACTGCAATAGCCTGATTTGGTCTGTAAAAGGTAGCTGTACCTGGTGATGCCAGTAGGATAGGCCATCTCTCGTCGCGGCTGCTGTACGAATGCGAACACACGAAGTTCTAAATCAGCTTTGGTAGTCAAGGCATTTAATTGGTAGTCACAGACAGCAGCCACATCTATGACGCGCACAACAGAGCATGTCACGTGAGCGTGGATAGAGTGGGTCTTGCTCTTGAGGGTGCCAACGTGATGCGTCCCGGACGATGTGAAAAATAGCAAGCCCTCGCATAACAAGCGCTGTTTGCCATCATAAACGCAGGCAACACGCAGACAATGGCACCTGCTACAAATGAGCAATATCCCCAGGCGATGATACCTATTCTTGTATCTGTAGTAGTCTCTTTAACGGTGCCAAATGCGGCCGAGACTTCCATAATGCCCGGAGTGTACGACAAAAATGCCTCATTCATGTCACGACATCGGTATCGAGCTCGAAGGTGAGCCTATCACATATTGAAATGCCATTTCGTGGAGGAACCCTGGTGGCATGGACGCGATGTGTTCATTCGTGTCGGCCATGTAACTTAGGTGATGAAAAGGGTACATCCAAGGTAGACGGAGGGTGATAGCATATAGGAAACGACGGGGACGCAAACATCCAGGAAAAGACATACTAAGTAGTCGTCAGAATGCGGGCATTTTACAAAAACGACCGAGCATTTTACGAATTCCCTTGTTTTAACGTCCTAAAAACAATGTTTCTTGCGCTATCTACCATTCAACCGTTTTATAAACCGGTTTTGGCTGCACCTACCTGCCGAGAGTGGTCGGTCGAACTTCAACACACTCTCACCATCATGCATCTCTTTCAATACGTACTAGGTGAGGGAGGTGACAACCGCTGTTGCCGTACCCTCACCCCGGGGTGTCTTGGTTGTTGCGCCCCTTTTGGTATGCACGCTGCGCTTCCTCCGTAGCGCATGCAGCGGCGAGAAGGCCTCCCCCCTTTAATCTGGGCCCCATGATAGGGGACGTCCCACCCTGGGGAAGGAAGCCGGTCGCCCGGCTCTTTGGAGGTCTTCGTCGCCTGGCCGTTGTTGCCCGAAGGCGCGAATTGGGAAGTAGATGGCTGCGCAACACAGGCAGCGATTGTTCCTCGTCTTGGAAATGTTTGCGTACTATAGAGTGTGAAGAATTACTCGAAGACGGACAACGAAGAGTCGTTTTAAATTATTAGTACTAGATATCAGGCTACTTTGCAAAAGAGAATGGAGTAATTTAGAGGCGGAAGGTGCATGCAATTCTAGTAAAGTAAACTGCCGACGCACCCATCCTGCTTCGGGTAAGCTGACTCCCCAGGTTTTCGGTCCGTCGACCAGCTGATACTGAACACAACAAAATGTGCAGTCGCCATCTGATACTCTAATACACGTAGAGCGAATAACAATCTAACGACGTGCTTGCTGCAGTTTTTGTCCAAACGGCACTCATCCTTTGCGTGCTGTAGACCGATGCAAAACATTAGCAACGGACTTGCATTTGGTCTGCACTGCAACTGCTGCCATCAATGATAATGCTTTTCGAGCTAATTGAGTACTCAAAGACGCTTTTTTATCCAACGAATTAATCAGGCGTAGCGCTGGTTTTAGAGCGGTAGATGGCACAAAGTGCGGCGCTAACCAGCAGAATCTATTTTTTCATCTATGACACTGCTGCCATGCTAAGGACGACGCTCCTTGTAAAGTAACGGTTGGCCTCTGTCGTCTGTAAAGGTGCGCGTTATATTCTTTCTTCTGGACTTGGTCAATAATAGACAACGTACGTGTACACTATCCTTGCCCCTCCGGAGAGACGGTTTAGTTCGTATGAGATGCGCCGCACTGCATCAGAAATGCTGCAAGCTAAGCAGCACAACAAAGTAAGGCCATCGAGTTTACAAAGCATGCCGATACACTTCTTATCAGTCCACGTGCATGAGCCTTGTGTCAAGGCTCTGCCCAGACGGATTCGTCTTGTCATCGTCGTCCTCGTCATCCTTAATGCTGGCCTCTTGGACAACTGAAGCCCATTGCGCCATTTTCTTCATACCGTCAATAGTGAGTAGCTCTACAAACTCCGGGTGTGCCTGCCACGCGAACATCCACTCTTGCTCGCGGATGTAGTCATCTTGGTCGAGGTCGGCTTCACGAAAGATCTGATTCACGGCGAGAGGAATGTCCTTCTCAACCGCCTCCATCAACTGCTCAATAGCCTTGACACCGTTCGCGACGGCAGCGTCTTGAATCGACGAAAGCTCTTCGCTCTGCTTATTTCCCATCTGGATCTGCACTTGGTCTCGCAGCAGCTTGGGAAAGAGCTTCTTCACTGCACGAATCCGGCGTTGCATCGCAAGTGTGAGCTCCTCGCGAGTGATTTTGCCACTCCCCGTTGCATTCACAATCTCAAAAAGGTTGTGTGCCTTTTGCTCAAATGTGCCCTTCGTCATCAGATACACGCCGACTACAAACTCGTCCAAAGTAAGCCAATCTTTTGGTGTTGTATGCGTCTCAAAGCTGGAAAAGACAGCCCCCGCTAGCGTAGCGCTTTCACTCACGTCTTTCATGTCTTCGTATTCATCACTGAGTGCCATACAAGCTGCCATGAACCCACCATAGTACAGTTTGCCGTTCTTGTCGGCGTAATCGTCGAACACGTTCGCTAGATCTCTGTAGGTTTGGGTAGAAATGCCACCTTTCGTGCGACGTGATACCGTAGCTTCTGCCTCCTGTACAGGTGCTTCCACACCATCGGTTGTCAAACTGGCGCTCTCAGTCGCATTAGTTGCTGTACTCTTCGCTGCAGATTGCACCGTCGGCGATTCTTCCTTGGCAGATGCGTGCGGAATCGACCGCGGCTTTGACCCGTACGTCTTCCGAGCACGGCCAATGAATGCATTCAGCTGAGTGAGAGCAACATCGTCGAAGAAAAGCTGGATAGCATTCGCATGCAAAAACGACGACACCTCAAATGTCACTCGAAACGCAATCTCGCAGCTTCCAGGCGTCTCGCACGGCTTGAACATCCACTCGCTAATTGGTCCAAAACACGACCAAAAACACTAGCTGTCAATAACTAGAGACGATCTCCGATAGTCAGTCCAGCGACAAAACAAAAGACAAGCGTACCTTTCAATCCGCTTGAATGTCGGCGAGTCGATCGCTTTCGTTGCAATCTTATTGGGCCTACACATAACCACGAATCAGTCACTAACTACCTATGTATTGAAATTCATCAATCCAGTTACGCAATACTACGACGACGATTACTACTACTACGACTACTACTCTAAGACTGCTACTGTTACTATCAAGTGCATCAAGATAAACGCACCGGATCATGAGAACTCGAGACGTGTAGGACTCTGTGAAAATGTTGAAGCCCACACGCAGTGCCGCCTCCATGACGTTCTCATTCGGTCGTCGCAGAACGCGCGACTCGACACAGAAGGGCAGGAAATCGCTATAGCGCTCGACGTCAGCCACCACGTCAAACATTTCCGAGCACGAAAACGGCACGACGCGCGTCTCCGTGTGGGATTTCACCAGCGCCTGCGACGGCTTCAGGAACGAGAAGAGAGGCGCGCGCTGGATCACGTGTGGCGTGAGCGCCGTGAAGACGCGAGCGCGACGCGCCGCCATGGGGCGTCGGAGCAGCATTGCGATTGGAATATGATTCGTTTTATGATCCTCGATGGGTCACACGGATTTTTAGCGAATGAACAGTCGACGTGATTCCCGCTCGAATTACTATTGTACATTGGAGGTAGACGACGCGTACGATATGTCAAGCTTCTTGCCCGAGGTGAGGTAGCTGCTAGGACAAGAACAAAGGAGCTGCTGGCCTGAACTCAAGGAATGGTCTTGAACGGATGCTGGTAGACGGTCGTGCCCACAGGTCCATTAACGAGAGAGTTGCGGTCGCTGTTTAAGTTCTTGACCCACCAAAAACGTGCCGTGGTGGCTGGGGACCGCGAGCTCAATGGTGGGAATGCTGGATGACTGGCTGACCCGCTGGTGGTTGAAGCTGCTCTTTCTCTGCTGGTATTGTGAATAACTAACCGTGGTAATGTGCGGCAGAGCTGTTGCGATTAAGCGAGAAGCAGATGGATGCAAAGATCCGTGAGCTCGAGAATTGGAACTTCCGTCTCAACCTCGACGAAGGTGCGCTTCGGTAGCAGTACTTGGCTCTGGTAGAACTGCCAGCCACTGACACTGTCGATGCGATATTTGCCACGACAGCCAAAGAAACGCAAGATAGCATCCGCCTCGGGATCGTGGAACGCAACCTGCAGTAGTCAGCTGCCACGGCACGGTTCGAGCCCTTGATCGAACCAATGGACGCGGCTCTTGTGAGCACTTCAGAGACAGGGTGGTAATTTCGGCACTCCGGAGACGGACAATTATTGACTGGACGCGCAGGTGTTCTAAGCGTTATCGTACCGTAAACCATCCACTTGCTTCGCGTTTTCGTACTTAAGACGATGACAGCGGGTGCTGTTCACTTTCGCGCAACATACTGGCTGCCGACAAATGCAAACAAGGCGGGCATCAAGTGCCGAGGACGACAGTGGCTTGATGGCTACAGCAGCTGCATCTTCGAAGCAGCGAACTCCGCTGCCGCCATCGTCTTCGTCTCTCACGAATGCTGGCAGGAAGCGCATGCGACGCCAATGCTCCGATCCCGACTGCAGAAAAGTGGACGCTGGTGGAGGCTTCTGCGTCGCCCACGGAGGCGGCAAAAAGTGCTCGTTTCCAGGCTGCACGAAAGGTTACCAGACAGGTGGGTTTTGCAGGAAACACGGTGGTGGTGCGCGTTGTCAGGTGGCTGGCTGTGGAAAAGTGGACGCTGGAAGGGGATTGTGTCGAGCCCACGGCGGCGGCAGACGCTGCCAGATTGCTGGATGTCCGAAAGCTGATGTTGGCGGAGGATTCTGCACGACCCATGGAGGAGGCAGGCGCTGTTCGGAGCCAGGATGCACCAAGATTGACCAGGGAGGAGGCAGGTGCCGAGCGCACGGCGGTGCGAGACGCTGTCGACGGAGGAGCTGTCAGCAACCGGCCCGAGGTGTCACGGGGTTCTGCACAGAGCACGGCGGGGCGCGTGTTTGCTCTGTTCTGAGCTGCAGAAGATTGGTGCGCTTTCCCACCGATACTGGCACGATGTGCGCGACGTGTTCGAGGATTCAAAAGCAGAGAGGAGTCAGAAACACGCAGGCCGAAGACGAGCATCACGCTGATAGTGATCAGTCCAGCGACAGTCCACAAGACAGTGCAACGCTGACTCCGGACTGCCAGAGTGCAGGTGTAATTACGTCGTTTCCGCCGCCATCTCCTCATCCAGCAACCCCCCGATGTGATGGCTCGCGGGTTGCGGGTTGCTTAAACAACGGTTGTGCGCGTAGCTTCGGAGGAAACTGCAACTGTGCTGCAGATTGTGCATGCAATGTTCCAACGTCGCCATCTGCATCCCGATTGGTTCCAATACTAACGAGTAGCAACGCGATGACAGACGCTGCAGCTTCCGCCACCCAGACACTTAGCACAAACGTTAGCGAGTTTGCACCTCTGACTCGTGCCCCAACGCCGAGGGCCACCATGATACCGCGTGTTGTGCTCCGGATCAGGCCGTACTCAAGCTTTATAAGCATCCAAACCATTGTCGCAATGTTGGCGACGATATCAGGAATCAGAAGTGTGCATATGACCTCAGACAGCTCCACGCCATCTCTTACCAACGGATATGTATCGAATAGTGAAACTACAGCACCTGAGTCTGACTCGAAGCCAACTCCATCCTCACGGCTCGTCGTAGTGCGCGGAGACAAATCGCTGGACACGGATGTTTTTCTGGCACCCATTAAGATTCTCAAGCTTGCCGAGATCATTGTGGTCGAACAAACGTCAACGGCATGGACACGCAAAGAAGTGGTACTGCGGGTACCCGATATGATGTGTCCTGCAAACTGTGGTACGTCGGTACTTAATGCGGTGCGGGTAGTGGACAGGGTTGAAGCTGCGAGACTTCGCTTCGAACAACGTCAAGTCGTTGTACGCGGTGACATGGGTGTCGATGCTCTCTGCGCAGCTGTCACCGACATCGGTTTCGACTCGAAAGTCGATGCGGAAACTCTGCTTCCTCGTCGATTTCGTTTCCGCGTTGATGATTTGAGCGATGTAGGGCTGAATGGCGTTAAGCTCAAGCACGCGTTGATGGCCGTGGAAGGCGTCGAAAATCTTGTGTTGCTCACAGACCGCATCGAAGTTTTGGTGACAGCGATGCTGCTCGACTCGACTCCGCTCGTGGAGGCTGCTAGCCGTGCAGGTTTTGACATGCTGGAGCTGTCGGAAGAAGCCTGGGGAATACCAGTGGAAGTGGTGTTGCCACCATCTGGATCGTCAAGCCATGATAAATTTGTCACTACAGAGCAATCCCAGGCGCACAAATGCGATGCGCATATCTGCCCGCAATTTGGCTGTCCGGCATACATGACCACCGTGGCTCATACCGCGGCACTAGCTGTTGGATGGGCCGTACCCGGTTGTGGTATGGCATCGGGCGGAGAGTGTACGTGCGGAGATAGCTGCAAGTGTGAGGGCTGTCCTGAGCATAACCCGGTGTCGTAAGTGTCGGTGGTTCTAGTTTCTTCATTCGAGTGATGTCGTCAATTTAAGTAACCTTCTCAGTGTCATCGCGCCGTGATGGGACGATACGAGGCTGACCCGGAGCATGAGGATTAATGTCAGGCTCTGCTGACTCACAGGAAATACAAGTATCGCGAGCGTTTTGCTTTTTATGATGAGCCCATCTACCAACTTTGTTCTGGGTCAGGTGCCCAGCTGCATTGGGCTTCGTTGCATGTTTCATTGATCAATCAGTCTCCGTCATACTCTTTTCATCAAGCCTAGACTCATGACAAGGTCAACCTTTGTTTGCTGCACCCCTCGTCTTCCATCTGCTGACGTCATAAGCACCTTGCTTTCGCAAAGTCGCTCAACAGTCCGATTCTTGTCAATTCCAGATCATATCGCAAAGCGAGTCGACCACCGGAAGCACGTTCTGGCCGCAGCGAAAAAGCTGCCGATGGGCTGAAATGAACACATCGTCTGCGCTGCCTATGTCACGCTTCTATCAGTTTCCCCCGCTCCAACAAACGATGTAACTTTTTGACTTCCGGTTACCAGTGGTTTCTGACATTGTAATGACAGACCTTCAACACTTGTTCATCAGCAGCGGTACTCAATACTTTGCTTGCGTCCTCATTCCTTTTTTGTCTTCGATTGACAGAAACAAGTTTGTCACCAACGCAAACTTGAAAGACGACAAGACCAGAATGCAGCCGCACTTTGTTTCCAATCGTAGCGATGAGTGCTCGCATCGTTCTCATAAACACTGTTTCGTCTCAACATTGCTACGATTGTTGCCCTTAGGCTGCATTGCACACCCCTTGATATACATTGTTAAGAAGTCGTGTAGCAGAAATCCCTGGTCGTCAGTCAGTAAATACTGCAGACGAGCTCTATCGAAGATCGGGCACTTTGCCTTCAGAGCCGTAAAGTACCATGCTTGTGATCGTCCCACTCACTCACATCGTCCACATCACATCCGTGAGTCGTACACCCGATCACCAACTCATCGGATCGATCTGCTGCTCACACCACTTCTGTCGCCGTCATTGCTTCTGCCTTGTCATCGAATAAAGATGTCTATCTACACTCATCTTTCATATGCTGGTCACGTATACCACCAACCTCAATCCAAAGAAAGTCTGCGGAGACCACTTCCGTCCATGTCTTTCCACTCTCTCCGTCTACTTTATCTACATAGCGAGTCATTCGCACACAGCCATTCGTTCCCATCACTGTTCCATCCAGCACAAGTTTTCTCGACTCGTGTCGTCCAACTCGTACGCCACGTAGCCAAAACTGCCAACAGTTCTCGCACAATAGAGCGTCACTTTCAAGCGGCTGTTTCCAATCCAGCCACCTCTTCTCAGCGTCATGCTTCGCCTCTTCTTGCACATCTATGACCTCGCCACTCGGCGGCCGAGTTCATTTACCATACGACCGCCTGATTTTCTCGACCTCTGTAGCTTCTAAACAGTCATACCCGGTCCGCTCTTCCTCCCACGCTCAGCAGAAGAGGTCAGTGCTATATTCGACACGAGACACGTCACTTCTTCGAGTGCCCCGTCTGCGTCCTTTAACCTGTCGAATCCGCACTCCAAACGAGGCGGAAACGTTCCATTCGGGCCCCTGGCGATCCAGCACTTGATTCTTCGTATAGTTAGTACCCTCGTGACAAGCTGCTAGACGTCAAAGCAGAGGCAGCCCGACTTGTACCGTACCGCAACCAAGTCGACGCGCTGGGAGTGACTGACTGCACGTGACGAGTGCGGAATTCAAGAGTGTAGGTCCCTGACGTTTCCGTTTGAAACGGACGTTCGACTGACAATCGAACGTCTGTTTCGAACGCGGCGCGATCTTTGTTCGTTTGTTTGATTGGTCGATTCGCAATCAAACGTCCGATTCAACGTTTTGCTGTTTTCGTTGTCGATTCCTTTCGTACCCCAAAAAACATGGCAACGACCTCCGCGACGGACATTGTCGTAGTGTACCAGCAGCAAGAGTGCGTCTACTTCCTCCGTTATCAAGGCTCTTTCTAGTAGGTGGTAACCCATGAGAAGGTTCCTCTGTACTAACTGCAACGGTCACGGTGCTTTGTTGGGCGCTCGATCTGTTCCCACGTGCAGGTTCTACGTGTCAACACCAACCTCTCCCGATCAAAAGACGCTACCAGTGGATTTGCTGCAGTGCCAGCTCCTTTCGCTCACGCGAGTGCTTCCCGATGAGCAGATCCTCGTGTCCTCTAGTACTGGAGAAGTGCTGTTCGCGCCAAGCATGAGCGACGTGACGGCGATTTCCATGTCAAACGAGAGCCGGTCTCGCTTCTTCCTCTACTCCAGCACTGGATCTGTTTCAAAGGAACTGCCCGATGTAGCAGATGATTGGCGACAGATTTGTACCAAGAGCACGTTTGGTGACGCGGCGGTAGTGCAGCCAGCATTCCGAGCAGTCACGCAGAGTGGGGGTGACCCCCTTGTCACTCTCATATGTGAACCGTGTGCAAAGACTTGCACGACAGGTACATTTGAAAGTAATGTATGATGTGAGGACTGGTTGAAATTGCTGCTGACCAAGCTGCTGGCTGTAACGGGTGCAGGCTTCCAGCGAGTAAGTCCTATCGAGTGGAACGCATCACCGACGATGATGTCACGGTTCGTTTCTGATATCACTCTTGTTGCGGGAGACGTCGATGTTGCTGCACCGTCTGGATATACAAAACTGCCGGTGGAGCTGAACTACTCGGCATCAGGCGACTATGTGTATTTGTGTGTAAAGCGTGGAGGGCCGCTAGCTTTGACGCAGATTCACGTTTTACTGGAGCAACGAGGCACCGGAAATGCCATCTCTACTGCTGCTGATTCTATTTCGTGCACACCAGAACGCATTATTGAGGTTGATCGTAAGATTTGTGGCGATGAAATTGAGCCGACCGTTCGTATCGGGTATGACTCGGTGCAACTTGTGGGTAATATGGAGCAGTATGAGATGCTCGCAATCACTGAAATTGCTGTCGTTGTTGGCGATGAACCCGTCCCACCACCTTCCTACGTAAAGATAGCACGAAATCTGAACGAAGGTGTGATGGGCGCTCTGCCTGTTTTTCTGTACTACCGCTTGTCAGCTCTGGGAGGATTCGCATGTGATTCAGGCAGGGAGCACAGCGACTTCGGTGAATGTCTTTTTACCGCCCGTCATCTAGCTGGAGTGAGCAGCACACTCGATTTGGATGAACAACGATTGACCATCCCGCGGACTACTTTCGCAATCGAGCGAAGGCGCGGCGATGCGCGGATTTTGAAGGAATACTATCGCCGACGCGAACCGGGTATGGTGAAGCGACTGCAAAGCGGACTGCAACGTGCACAGTCGTACGAAAATCGAGGGATGCAGCTGGAGGCACTCAAACGAATTCCAGTGGATGTGCTCCAGGCACGTGCGCAAGCCAATCCGTCGCCCATGCCACACGCTCAGGACGAATTGGTCAAGCAATTGTTGCACTGGTTTAAGCATGAGTTTTTTACGTGGATGAATCAACCTCGTTGCTCCGTCTGTAATAATGAACAAACGAGGCCGGTGCGTACCGAGGGCCCTAGCACAGCCGAAGAGATCAGTGGCCAGGCTGGCCGTGTTGAGGTGTACCAGTGCCCTGCGTGTGGTGCTTTAACTCGATTTCCTCGCTATAATGACCCAGTAAAGTTGCTAGATACACGCACTGGTCGATGTGGAGAATGGGCAAATTGTTTTACACTTTGCTGCCGCGCGATGGGATTCGAAGCTCGATACGTCCTAGATGTTACGGACCACGTCTGGACTGAGGTATACTCCGAGCACTTTGATCGGTGGCTGCACTGTGACTCATGCGAAGACCAACTTGACTGCCCTCTGACATATGAGGTTGGATGGGGTAAGAAACTGTCGTACATTTTTTCGTTCGGCTATGACGAAGTGGTTGACACGACGAGGCGATACACCCAGAGGTGGTCCGAAATCCTTACCAGGCGTCAAGACGTAAGTGAAGATTGGCTGAGGACGACCATCAGTCAGATCAACCACGGCCTTCAGGAACGACAAAGTCCTGAAAGGGTAGTCATTTTGACAGCGCGTGCCATAAGTGAGCAAAAAGAACTGCTTTATCGGCGCTCTGCGCAAATGAATGAAGTAAAGGGTCGTGTTTCCGGATCAGCCGAATGGAAAGACCAACGAAACGAAGCCGGAAAGCAAGGAGAAGAACCTCACCACAACGTGCCGTCTACAGTGAAGATATCGCCTGCTGTACCGTCTGCCGAGGTCTTGCAGAATATTTGCAAGAACTTGGTGATTGGTTGCCAATTCGCGGATTGCGCGAATCCATTTTGCTTCACTGGTCGAACACGAATGTGTTATTTGGGTGTGCCGTCCGACGTGACTGAACGGGCCGCGCAAGCTCTACAGATTGTGCAAGCGTTGAGCTCAATGGAATTCTTGCCAGCATCTCTGATGATGATTATGTGTCCACTGGAACCGACAGAGCTTCGTCAATATATTTGGAAGAATAAACCGCTGATGTATTTACCGCTGCAGGATTTCCCAGTGATGCATACCGGTGGAAACGTGCCTTTACTTGATATCTCAGGCAATGGCAATCATGCAAATAATTCACAGCGCTGTGCTTTGCGCAAACCATTCCGAGTTCGTACTTTGAGCCAGGCGCGTGACACCAATGTTGGAGCTGGAAGTCAGAGGGATAATAGAGCATTTGGTATGCAGCTTATAGGAGGTAAGACGTTATCCGTTTCGGAATCAAGTCTGGCTTGCAGTACGAACTTCGTGCTGTCACTTCTTGTTCGCTTCGATCCAAATGAGTCACCGCATGCTGTAAGGTCGGATACAGTGGAAGTCTTGGCTGGTCGACTTGGGTCACTCGAATCCCCATCATCGATTGAGTTTCGCATGCACTGGAAATTTCATGAGCGGCAGTTCTCTTGTGAGCTTCGATGTCAAAATAAGACTGCTGAGACGCCTGTATCTCCAACGACGTTATTGGTCTTGGGTGGGCACGCCCACGTTGCCATAGCCCGAATCGAGAAAAATGCTGTGGTGCTGTACCTCAACGGAGCAGAAACGCTGGTGCTCGAAGGAGTGTGTGGATCGAGCATAAGTGATGTGTGTATACAGGGGCCTGCAACCACGTATCCAAGTGTTGCGACTGTAATCAGTCATGTGGCTATGATACCTGTGAAGACGTTGGAGGAGGCTGGTAATTTCTGCGCCGGCATAAAAAACTTTGTACCTGCTCCTCCCTTTGAAAGCATTTAGGGCCGGTGGAGAGTGCATTGATGAGATGTGTTCTGAAGCTGCAGCTGAAGCTGGTTCAGGGTACCGTGTCGCGCAAATCTTGAGTATGGTCGTACTGCTGTAATTTGCTGAGTGAGTAGCTTGATATGTTTGCGCGATGTTCCTAACTTCTGTGGTTGCCTTGTTGCTGACACAAGTGTGGGGAGATGACTTTTTCGACGGCCTTCAACTTGTTTACGAGAAGATTTCACAAAAGGACATCACAACTGCTGCTTTTAAGTCCCCAACCACCATTTTTGGCCCTTTGGTAGGAAACGCCAATGCGAAACGTCAAAAGTCGCAACCAACAGCTAGCCTCGAATTGCTGTCGGACGAGATCGTCACGCGAGTTAGTGGGCGGAAGGGCGCTTGGATCGATTGCGTGACGCTACACACCAATTTCGGACGGGCGGTAACATGCGGAGGCAAGGGAGGAGGCGACTTCGTTATACCGACACCCGCCGATAGCGAAATTCGCTCCATCTCTTTCAAGATCGGAGGTCACCTGTCTGATACGTGCGCCTTTGTGCTTCAAGATTCACCGACCAAAGCACGCGAAGGTAACACACCAGCTTGCTCTTGATGAAACAGAATCGTATTCATAAGCCACACTGCTATTCTCTGCGGCAGGCATTTTGATCCAGGACCTTCAAGGTATCCTGTCCTCAGACGAGCATTCAAGTCGCCTAAACGCAATTTCTGCAGGTACGGATGGGTAGCACGACTACTAACGCTCGTAGCTCACCTTAAACTGTCCAGCGCTACGTTACCTAGGTAACATCGCTCAACAGCCACAAGAAGCAAAGTTCCAGCGCATTCGCGCTAGCAACAAGTTTTTCACATCGAACGTGGGCGTCTTGGGTGGTGAAGTAGCCAAGGCTTTCATGAGTTGGTGTGGCTTCGAAGAGACCTCAGACCAAGGCGACCAGTTTTTCACTTTCAAGCTGTCGCAGCTACAAGGGGAGCCAACTCCGCAGCAGTTGGCAGCCGAAGCCCAGAAGCGGATCCACCTTCTGAAAAGTGCCGGCATGCATCAGTAGCAGAGCTCATCGAACGGTAACTCCAGGTGCTGTGGCGGTCAATACAATACCATACTCTCCAACGACGACGTGTCATGTCTGCCGTGTCGTGTATGTACTAGATACGGACTAAAGTTGGTTAGACAAGAACGTTGAGAAAAGGGAACCAGTGAGACTACAACTTGGTAAGTCCAGAAGCTCAGAAACCAACAGGTTCGTCATTCTGGGCTTACACTTCCCATGACATACGCCAGCAGACCTATGAATAATAAGGTCGAGGATATTTATTGGGACTACCGCAATCCCCGCTTCAATGAAATGGCTTCATTTTTCGATATTGCGCCAAAAATTCACAACTGCACGGACCGTTCGTTGTTAATCAGGTCGCGACTGGACTAGAGTGTACATTTTTGATGTGTTTGTTAGACGTGATACTGAACATGTGTTTACTCGAGGAGTGTGAAGAAACGAGCGATGACTATGTGTTGTGTTGAGACTTGACCCCCACCTTGTGGATTTTACAGTGTAAGTGTCCATTTCCTAGACGTTTCCTGGACTGGGGACACCCATTGCCCAAAGATGGGGATTCGTACATTCATAGGACTGGAGGATAGTGGCTAAGTGGCGCATTTATTGGAAGGCCACATTGCTCGCAAAAAGTGGAAATGAGCGTACGTGCAAAAAACTCGTCCCCTATGAATTGCCGCTCTATGTGGCGCCATTGTGCAGTACAACTGACAGCACAGTTTGATGGTAAAAAGCGGTGGATAAATATCGACTAATTTTTTTCATTAGAAGAGCCAAGCCTTCTGACGACCTTGACAATAGCAAGCTATCGTACCTACCAACCCGCTCACCCTGCAGCATCTGGCACCCACGCTCATCAAAACAGGGTCAGCACTTCGTTGCGCAGCTCTTTCATAATTCAAGTACCGATTCGAAGGACTAACTAGAAACCTGAACTGGTGTCGTAGGCTAACATTAATAGCACATCCTGTGAGCTTTACGACACCATCCAGGTTTTGAAGTCATATCTCCTCTTGTCTCTGTTACTCGATTGTTTGCTCTGTGTCGGACGGATGATGGAAGACTCTGTAGCGGCTCGAAAAACTCCATACTTTGTGAGTCTTTGTGCCAGGGAAATATCCCCGACACACTCACGGTCTTCATGCTTGATCTGTGACGACTCAACTGTTACGAGTTTGCAATGGATTTGTCCTGCACGGGCATTGGCGATTGCTGGCTGGAGTTATGGGGCGAGTTTATCATTGGAATAGTGTGACACGTTCGACACTACGAAGACCGGTCAGTCGCATCGACTACTCGTTAACGACGGACGCTAGACAGACGAAAGAAGTAGCAGCTATACGCTTGAAATGAACGCTCACTTGATTTTGGATAGTTGGGCATTCAAGTCTCAGTGTTACGACAAACACGTTGGTACCTTCTCTCCAGGCAAGCTATCAGTATGGTCTGACAATCACCACCACCACCACCACCACCTGACACATATTCTTACAGCTCCTTCTCTTCCCCGGACTCCACCGGCACCGGCTCATACGGCAGGAATGAGTTGTAGCCCTCGAGACCTTTCTTCGCGTCCCAGTAGAACTCGTATGCCAGCGGTTCAGCCAGCGGCCAGTCGTTGCGGAAGCGGGCAGGCAGGTCCGGATTCACGAGGAAGGCGCGACTGAAGCCCACGAGATCGGCCGCTCCAGCGTGCAGCACGCCCTCTGCCTGGTCACGGGTGTAGCTACACGTGGCCATGACGTGACCCTTGAAAAGCGTCTTCAGCTCGAACAACGTGAAGACGCGGCTCTTGTCGGAGCGGCCGAAACCAACGCCGTCGTGCGTGGCCAAATAACAGAGACCCATTTTGCCGAGTTCCGAGATGGCGTACGAGAACATCTCGTAGTTGTCCTCGCTGCCCATGCCTCCGAACGCGCCGTTCGGTGCGAGTCGGACTCCTATGCGGTCCGCCGGGTACACAGTAGTAACCGCGGCGATGAGTTCGCGCAGGAACCGGAAGCGGTTCTCGGCTGATCCTCCGTACTGGTCTGTGCGGTGGTTGGTGCTAGACTGCAAGAACTCGTCAATGAGGTACCCTCCCGCTCCGTGGAACTCGACGCCATCAAATCCGGCGCTCTTGGCACGCTCGGCACACTTGCGGAAGCCCTCGACGACCTGCTGCACCTCGTCCAGCGTCATCGCTCGGGTGGTGGGGAAGCTCGTGGGGTTCCCTTGTGCGTCGTGTGTGCGACCTTCGGCATGGCACGACGACGAGCACGAGACGACTTCATTGTCCGGTTGAAAGGACGGATGCGACTGTCGTCCCATGTGCCACAGCTGCAGAAACATCTTGCCGCCTTTGGCGTGCACGGCTTCGACGACGCGGCGCCAACCCTCCTGCTGCGCGTCCGTGTAGAGTGCGGGTGCTCCGTACCATCCGTAGCCCTGTTCAGACACGGCACAACCTTCGGAGATGATGAGGCCGCCGGATGCACGCTGCGCATAGTACTTGGCGTTCTCAACTGTTGGCACTCGCGTTTCGATGTCGGAGCGAGCACGTGTGCAGGGTCCAACGACGAGCCGGTTTGTCAAGGTGAGACCGGGGGATACTTCGATCGGGGCGAAGAGTTTGTAGTCGGCGAGTGTGGCAGACATGGTGCTCTGGTGACGTGAGGGGTTCTTGGCTGGAACGGAAGTGGTTGCTGTGGTTTGAGGTGAATTGGAAAGTGAGCAGAAGTGCGATCGGTCAAGTGAAGAGACGGATGCGAGTCGGGCATAGCGGTTGTTGTGATGCAAAGGTATCTTTCTGCATGGAGAGATGGCGACGGGGGTGATGACGAACTTGGTGCAACCGATAGAGGGGCTCGTATGGTACTCGTCCCGTGCGATCGATCAGCTGTTGTTGTTGTTGCGCAACAGTCTGGTCCTATCCCAAGATATTGAAGGGACAATTGACGACATGGTGGCAAACTGTTTTCTCATCATGTAACAACACTCCTTTCGAATGACGCAAACTGCTGACCGTACCACGTCGCCTACCCACGTCCTCGTACGGTCTTGGTGTTTGGAACGTGGGAATGTTTACGACTTCTTCCTGCGGTAGGTATTGGGCTTTCGAGATTACACCATCCGAGTAACTTTTCATGTCAGGAGACCCAAAGCGCAGTTCCAACGGGAGACTCGCAAATGTTGTCTCAAGCATAGAAAACTGGAGCTGTGGATAGCGGATTGAAAAGCGTGCTTTTGATACGCTTGCGCCTGCTCTCCGGTTAATTGGCTGCGTACACCTGGATAGATAAGGAACTAGGCAAATTCTGTACGTGAATCTGTGCCAATTGTGAAAGAGAAGCTTTGAATTGGTGTGTACCGATAGAGACTCACGCAGACACAACTTCAGCAATGGTAGCGAATACAGAACGGTTTTGTCAAATAATGCGAGAAACGTTTCCACAATCTTTGGCAGCTTAATGGCAGCTGGGATAGTAAATGATAGCAGTCAGTAGTCTAACAGTCTAGAGGCACGCACATAATGTTGTCTAGATTTGAAAGGTGCGATCTCTCACTTGAGCGTACCGATAGTTGTCAAAGACGCGCAATTCCTTTTCATACTGCTGCTACAGCGAAGCAGCGATATGAAAAGTATGGCGCTCGAGCCTTTAATTTGGGCGACCGTGTGATTCTTGGCGGAGTGATCGTCTTACCTCATACTATGAATAGCAGTAGCTTGCGACTCTAGCTCGAATGGTAACAGGTGCAGACAGGAGTCATTCCTGACGGAGTGATGAACAATTCGCGATACTGTTTTTCGTTCACTGGTAAGACAACAACGATCTAATCGGTGGCTTTTGCAAACTAAACAGAATACCCCATACCAAAATTAAGCGCAAGCGTATCGGAACACGCCTTCCAACCTGCTGTCCACAGCTCCAGTTTTCTGTGATTGAGACAACATTTGCGAGTCTCCCGTTGGAACTGCTCTTTGGGACTCCTGACATCAAAAGTTACTCGGATGGTGGAATCTCGAACGCCCAATACCTCCCGCAGGAAGAAGTCGTAAACATTCCCACGTTCCAAACACCAAGACCGTACGAGGACATGGGTAGGCGACGTGGTACGGTCAGCAGTTTGCGTCATTCGAAAGGAGTGTTGTTACATGATGAGACTACAGTTTGCCACCATGTGGTCAATTGTCTCTTCAATATCTTGGGATAGGACCAGACTGTTGCGCAACAACAACAACAGCTGATCGATCGTACGGGACGAGTACCATACGAGCCCCTCTATCGGTCGCACCATGTTCGTCATCACCCCCGTCACCATCTCTCCATGCAGAAAGATACCCTTGCATCACAACAACCGCTATGCCCGACTCGCATCCGTCTCTTCAATTGACCGATCGCACTTCTGCTCACTTTCCAATTCACCTCAAACCACAGCAACCACTTCCGTTCCAGCCAACAACCCCTCACGTCACCAGAGCACCATGTCTGCCACACTCGCCGACTACAAACTCTTCGCCCCGATCGAAGTATCCCCCGGTCTCACCTTGACAAACCGGCTCGTCGTTGGACCCTGCACACGTGCTCGCTCCGACATCGAAACGCGAGTGCCAACAGTTGAGAACGCCAAGTACTATGCGCAGCGTGCATCCGGCGGCCTCATCATCTCCGAAGGTTGTGCCGTGTCTGAACAGGGCTACGGATGGTACGGAGCACCCGCACTCTACACGGACGCGCAGCAGGAGGGTTGGCGCCGCGTCGTCGATGCTGTGCACGCCAAAGGCGGCAAGATGTTTCTGCAGCTGTGGCACATGGGACGACAGTCGCATCCGTCGTTTCAACCGGACAATGAAGTTGCCTCGTGCTCGTCGTCGTGCCATGCCGAAGGTCGCACACACGACGCACAAGGGAACCCCACAAGCTTCCCCACCACCCGAGCGATGACGCTGGACGAGGTGCAGCAGGTCGTCGAGGACTTTCGCAAGTGTGCCGAGCGTGCCAAGAGCGCCGGATTCGATGGCGTCGAGTTCCACGGAGCGGGTGGGTACCTCATTGACGAGTTCTTGCAGTCCAGCACCAACCACCGCACAGACCAGTACGGAGGATCAGTCGAGAACCGCTTCCGGTTCCTGCGCGAACTCATCGCCGCGGTTACTACTGTGTACCCGGCGGACCGCATAGGAGTCCGACTCGCACCGAACGGCGCGTTCGGAGGCATGGGCAGCGAGGACAACTACGAGATGTTCTCGTACGCCATCTCGGAACTCGGCAAAATGGGTCTCTGTTATTTGGCCACGCACGACGGCGTTGGTTTCGGCCGCTCCGACAAGAGCCGCGTCTTCACGTTGTTCGAGCTGAAGACGCTTTTCAAGGGTCACGTCATGGCCACGTGTAGCTACACCCGTGACCAGGCAGAGGGCGTGCTGCACGCTGGAGCGGCCGATCTCGTGGGCTTCAGTCGCGCCTTCCTCGTGAATCCGGACCTGCCTGCCCGCTTCCGCAACGACTGGCCGCTGGCTGAACCGCTGGCATACGAGTTCTACTGGGACGCGAAGAAGGGTCTTGAGGGCTACAACTCATTCCTGCCGTATGAGCCGGTGCCGGTGGAGTCCGGGGAAGAGAAGGAGCTGTAAGAATACGTGTCAGGTGGTGGTGGTGGTGGTGATTGTCAGACCATACTGATAGCTTGCCTGGAGAGAAGGTACCAACGTGTTTGTCGCGAATGCCCAACTATCCAAAATCAAGTGAGCGTTCATGTTAAGCGTATAGCTGCTACTTCTTTCGTCCGTCTCTAGGGTCCGTCGTTGACGAGTAGTCGATGCGACTGACCGGTCTCCGTAGTGTCGAACGTGTCACACTATTCCAATGATAAACTCGCCCCATAACTCCAGCCAGCAATCGCCAATGCCCGTGCAGGACAAATCCATTGCAAACTCGTAACAGTTGAGTCGTCACAGATCAAGCATGAGGACCGTGAGTGTGTCGGGGGTATTTCCCTGGCACAAAGAGTCACAAAGCATGGAGTTTTTCGAGCCGCTACAGAGTCTTCTCATCATCCTTGCCGACACAGAGCAAACAATTGAGTAACAGAGACTCGAGAAGGAATGACTTCAAAACCTGGATGGTGTCGTAAGCTTATAGGATGTTAATGTCTGCTGATTGGGGAGACTTCAAAAACAACACTTTCTGCAAGGTTCGTCTGGACAGTGCCCAACCAAAATCTGCACCGTACTTAAATGAGTGAATCTCACTATCAGCACCATCCTACGTCAAAAGTCTCATTATCAGCACCAGTCCCAAAATCAGGACCAGTTCCCAAATTCAGCCCCAGCCAAAATCGATGTAGTGTAGATCACACTACTAGGTGCTCCCAAACATAAGAAGGTTATAAAGCTATTATCGCCACGAGTGTAAGTGCTTTACACCAGCAAGAATTATCAAGATGTCACGCGAAAGGGTGGCGATTTGATTTAGGTGCAAGTTATGGAACCACTGAATTGGCTCGTGGACAAAAAAATTCAGTCCGGTGTTGCTGCAACTAGGTTTGTATAAGACTGCTGTTTCAATCAAAACCGGCAGTGCAGGGTTAATAAAAGTGGTGGCAACAGCAAGACGTATGTGTGCCCACAGGATCGATGCCCATGGGAGGTTCGTTTGACGAAGAGAAAGCGGATGCGTGCAGCTCCAGAGCACTATAGTTTAACCCTATATGATATTGTGGTGGAGTGGTGATCGCTTAATTTGTTGAGATGATCCAGACTCTACACTGGCGCCCAGACGACCTAATAATGGAGGGACCACTCCGATTCCGTGCATATCGCTTTCCTCACCTTGTGTACCCGTCGGTAGGGCGGGTTGCACTCTTTCAGATTGACTCGCGTCGAGTGAGAACTTGACCGTGTTGGGGATGGGTTTGTATGATCGGGTAGAAATCTTCGCACGATCACTGGGGTATCGATGGGGTACTGATATAAGTTACCCTAATCTCAACTAAACCGCCTTGTCCAGTGTGTTCGTTCTTTATACGCGAGCTTTCTGACCACTTGGGCCGTCTCGCGATCTTGTGCCTTGCCTTTACGTGTTTTGCTACGTCCGATCGCAGTTGTAGTTACCCGAAAATCCTTGAGCGCACCTGGCCAAACAATCCAGGTGCGATAATTTAATGGACGGGTAACGCAACTCTTTATTCGTCGGGAGGCCAGAGATCCTGCCCGGAAGAGATTGCGTACGTCTTTTAAAGTAAATTGAATTCTCTTTAAGGTTAACTAATCAGCCTATAATCTACCCCTCTGCCTTATCCGTGTATCCTAACCGGATACCACGCGTCACCGTTTCAGGAAGATCGTCCTCTCGTATTGGTGTGTCCCACACCAGATGTATCGGCAGTCGAATCTTTTTGTGGTCCACCCAAAATATTACCACTACTTTACCTCGAATCGTGATCCTGGGTCCGGATCGTGATCTTAAGTCAGGATCAGGATCCTGCCAGGATCGTGATCCTAGGTCCGGATCGTGATCCTAGGTCCGGGTCGTGATTCCAGGTCCGGATCGTGGTTCTGGGTCCGGATCGTGATCCTAATCCAGGATCGCGATCCTAGGTCCGGACCGTGATCCTAATCCAGGATCGCGATCCTAGGTCCGGACCGTGATCCTAATCCAGGATCGTGATCCCTAGGTGAGGGATCACGAATATTACCTTGCCCTGTCTCAGGATGGATTGCGCAATCCAACTGGTCCAACTGTCATCTAACCTTGTCCCAAGTGACATCGATCCGGCTTCACAAAGTTAGGTGCGCTACTGCTAGCCACCCGTCCCAGCGTGTGTCCACCAATGATAACGCTTTGGACTTAGCTGAGGTGTGCGATCCATCCAGTCCCCCACTCCAACTGAACGGTGCATTTTCTTGTGACCGCTTTGCCACAATATTCACGCCGGCGTGTGCCTGGCAATTGCTAAGCCGTCTTTACGGCATTTTTAACTGCTGCCAACATTTAAAGCCGCCGTACAAGGTGACAAAGGCATCAAATGTAAATCGGTTGTGGCTATCGTCCAGGCTCGTGACGGCACTAATCTACAGCACTCTCGAAATGAAGTATACAGAGCCAAGGAGACCGTTGTCGAAGATTTGGACGGAGAGTGGCGATCATTTTTTCACTCCTTCACCGCAATTAATTGAGTTGAGGCGCGTTAATCCAGGAAGTAGTATTGCACTCGAAGTTGGCTAGAAAAATCTTTATCACTTTTTTGTGGCTTTTGGCACATTTATTTTACAAGCAGCCATCGATTCTATTTGCCGGTAGTAGTCTTTAATGGGACGCATTCGCGTAAGGCAAGTACAATGGCGTCATTCTCTGTTTAATTGGACGAGATGGAAACGGCAAAATCTCACTCTCGCCACGGCATTTTTTGCACGTGGAGAATTAAGAAATCATTGCGTGGTTTTTACCCACTGTACATACGCCGGGCTTGACCTCAAAAATATCCAGTAATGTGTGACCGTGGAAAAATCCAGGGTGTCGTTAAAATAAATCTGGACGAGAATGGGTATCAGCATCCAAAGTCGGTTTTGTACGATTCACATTTTGCGCAATGTTAAGCGAAACTTCGGAATGTCGGGGACCGAGGTCAAGAGTTTCGTATGGAAATTTCAGTCAGCAGAGACTAAAACTGACTACGAATCTTCACTCGCGGCGCTGCGGACAAAGATGGAAAGTGATGTCGCCTATTTTATGGAAGACATTGAGCCAATGTACAGGACGGTGTTTGCAAATGTAACAATTAAAATGACGGTGCATGCACGAGCTTGCAACACGAAGACACCCTTACACCTCCTTTGAAGTCATGACCATTTTTCGGGTGGCGCACTACCAACTTCGTGGAAAGTGATTACAACACTCTTTTTCTTTATGGTGTTCGAGATGCAGCACCTCTTGACACTATAAGATTTTCAACAAAGCCGGCTATGGAGAAATTTAGTTTACGTCAAGATTTAATTGAGATGTGGGCACTTAAGCAACTTAAAGCGACTCCTCACGCAGGAGATCGTTGGAAGGTCGAGCAGATGTGCCGGAGATTACGAAACGAATCGTTCGTCTTCTGGTGTATGGATTGCCTCGAAACAGGGCTTAACTCGGTATCAGCGTGTCGAGGTTGAGTTAATGAAGGGCTAATATTGTACCAACACACAAAAGGGGTTGCCATGTCGCCACCTAATCGCTATTCTACATGCTGCTGGGTCTACTAAAGATGTGACGTCCGCATTCCACCCGTCGTGCCTTGTGAAAACATATGAACCTGTGAACAGGAAGGATAGTTGAAGTGGTTGTATGCACAAGATCCACTTCAGCATTTATCAGCCCACCACCGTACTACAAGCAGGCTGGTTGAAGGCAGAAAAACCGTATTGCCAGCTCAGGAGATGCGAAATCAGGATCGACCTACAAATGCCGAGCGTGCAAGGAAGTGGGGCACAACAGGGTAACATGTCGCCGCCTCGCAAACTGAGATATGAAAGCGAATGAGGCATTTTCTGCGCAGCCAATTGAGTTGGGAGTTGCGCTTGATCCATTAAAGCCAAATCCACTTGTCCCGTCTCATTTTACGATGCTCGAAACCTCTCCGTACGAGGCCCCCACTTAAAACTCCATATTATCAATACTGATTAAAAGCAAATTTAGTGTCCAGCCTGAATCTATTCAAGGGTTTCTTGTAAGATGTGATACAAAAACGAAAATTATGCAAGATGTGATACAAGGTATTTTAACACAGGATTTTTTTTTTGAACTATACCGATCAAAATGATAGCTATCTTAAGGCCTAATTTACTGCATTTTTGATGAAGTATTGTTTGTTCCAGTAGTCAGCAGGACTACCCGACGCAAGCCTATCAAATATCATACCGATTGACACCGTTATTCAGTAGGTATGCAAGTAAATAAGAACATGCTTGACAGTTCCACAACAAAAATGCCACGTTACCAGAGCACAAAGAGCATGGGCGCATCAAGCAGCGCTGCCGTCTTGGGGGCTAAACGAAGGACCTGGACGGGGAGATGGTGCTCAGCGGTGCGTACTACTAGTGGAGATTGTTTCATTTTGCTGCTGTTCTGCATAAATAATGGGGTGCTTATCGACTGCTGATGAAGGGAACATATGGGTTTTTGGAAAGATTATTACCTCGAGACGGGCGATTACACTACCGTCAAAAATCTAATAAATGACACGATTGTGGATTTTTATCGGTCCGACGCGATTGGTACGAATGGACTGGCTGATGGCACTGTATTTTTGTCGATTATTTGCTTATTTCTTGGTTGATTAAACTGTAGGGATCGGCAATTACGACCATTTTCGTGCGAATAACGCTTCCCCACACCAGATCGCACTATACCGTCTGCATCCACCATGCCAACAGGACGGGCAGGCAGAAAAATGAGTAGTTGAGCAGTGTGGGTTACCTTAACAAGGACGGCTACAATGACAAAGAGAGCTTCACGAAAGAAGTTGCGGCCATTTCGTCTCGTTTTGAGAAGAAGAACAAGCAGCAGTAAGCAGGCGAGCAGCTAGATCCATTGCAATCCCAAATTTCCGACCAGATGTGAGCTTCAGGCTACCACAACGATCGACCGATCATAGTACTACAAACGGTCAGTCAACACAATCGAAACGTAGTTCCTACGTGTTGGTAATGTACGAAAAAAACTCGGTGACGATCTTCGTTGAGTCCTTAATGATAATAAGATTCGATACATGTGCTGTCACGTGTATCGTAACTTGTGACATCATCCAAACGTCGATACTGCAGCAGCAATGTCACACTCACAACATATCTTAGAGTATGATTTCATCTACATTCATGTTAGACCGTATCATAGCTCTACGGTGATCCATATCGGTCGTCTAACGTCAATAAAAGGGGCATGTAGCCTTATTGTGTCCCAATGTACCACATCGCTTACAATTGTAAGGCTTCTTTGCTTTTCCACCAGACTCACCCTGTGACCTGATGCGATCTTTTCTTCGGGCGTCCGGCTTGTCGAATAAAAACTGTGGATAGGTTTTTTATAAAAAAATCACGCTTTAGCACGTGGTCCTCGGCAACCTCAAGCTTACCGACGCTCGCTTGATACGCCGCAACTTTGTAACAATTGCCCATCAGCTCGTACGCAATCTTAGGCTTATCAACCGCCCTTAAGGTCGCGATCAAATGGCGACACGAAATTTTGTGCTGCTTCCATGTTTCACATACGCATGAAGCTTTCTTGACGTCAACACGGTGTTTTTCCAGTTGATTGCTGAATCGAGCGACAATTGCTACGTTTTCAGAACTGAACGTCACACCATACCTTGCAGCATCCATAAATTGTTTCTGCAACTTTTGTTCGGCCCGAGGCGTAATTGTAAGTCCCTCTTTCCTCCATAGCATGCCCAATTGAAACCTTCTGTAGCACCCATCCATCAAAATCGTCGTATAGGCCTTGAAGAACTCGTACGCATTTTAATCCGTGGCTTCAGGCGGAGACTCTTTGCTTGCTCACTCCCAACAAAGTTGGTCGTTCGCCATCCGTAAAGTGGAGTTGCTTCGTAATGTACGCGAAGTGTCCAGTTACGTAGTGGTACCGCATTCAAATAGATAGCAGCAGCTGGGTTGGTCGCGTATAGTTTGGTCATCGCGATTTCGAAATCAGATCGACGTGATGCAGCATTCGCTTCCCATACGAACTTCTCTTGAGTGACCAATAGCCGTACCATTTTGTCATTTCTCATATTACCTGTGCAGAAATAGATGACAAGTTAAAACAAAACTGCTGATAATTTGGCCGTTTCCGTACCTATAATGTGACGAATGCAGAACATGTTGAAAATGTTGAGCTTTTCGGCGGCAGATACCAGGCCAGCATTTCGATCACTGAAGACGGGCCTCGTAGTCAGTGAAAAACCATGTTTTATGACACGGCAAAAAAACTACGAGTATTTGTCGTAATCTTTAACAAGGACGAGCGCAATTGCAGCACTTTCGTTACTGAAATTTCCGTCGCGACTGGCCAATACAATCTGAATTCCGTTGTATTTGCGATGTTTCATGTGAGATGCATCTACACCAAAAAAAACCTGGTCATTTAAAAACCACTTCGGGTTTAGTACAACGATTGCCCGGCGGAAGTGCCCCTTCTCGTCGCATTGGAGTTCCGTAAGTGTTCCTGGGTTCAGACGCTGAAAATCCGACAGTAGACTTGGTAAAAGAGTAATCGTCGTTGAATCTTCTGAAAATAGCTCTTTATTTATCGTGTCCTCAGCACGATACATCACATAATAGGACGCAGTCATCTTGGATTGGTGAAGAAGTTGATCTATTAAAATTCTTGCGGACGTAGTCGATTCTGGAGACAATGCACCACGGACTGTAGAGCTGGTGACTAGTTGAGACGAGGAAGGCTTCTTGATACTAACGCAATTCTGGTGATCCAGATTTCCATCCGTCACATGCCAGTCACCTGGGCCATGTTTTTTCCTGTATCGTGATAATCTAAAATGCCATTCGCAACCCGAGATCTCACTGTTATACTGTAGTAAACGAAATGTCCCACCTCTCGAAGGCACGACAGCACATTTACCTTGCGCAAGTGCAACATCTTTAAGTTCTCGGATAGCGGCCTTTCCTGTATTCCATCTTTTCGCCTTTAAGTCTTCAATTAGTTCTCTTTGCGTTGGTGCAGGAATGAGCAAACGAAATCAGGAGTACGACTGCTATACGAGGCATTTGCTTTTTTGCGACAAATGTTCATAATTGACCCTAGATCGTGATAAATATCTTCAGAATGAGATAAATATCTTCAGATCGTTTAAACCTACAATCTCTAGCATTGCTTAAGGTGCAAAACACTGTCACAAATAGCCTTTTAATCGAGATAATTAGCACAAAGTCGTTGCATAAATAGATTCAGATCTTTGCATAAGTAGCTTCAGATCGTTGTAATTTAAACAAATTTCTTCTATAAAATACCTTGCATCACATCTCGGGAATTTTCGTTTTTGTATCACATCTTACAAAAAACCCTTTATTCAAACCTTTAACGGATGAAATGTCGCATTACTTCAAGCTTTTATTTTATAAATGCTAGGGTGGGAACGAGTTTCTGCATCATGTAGGCTGAAAGCTTCTTACTTACTTAAATTGATTCAGGCTCGGACTCATTATGTTCTCTGGTACATTTATAATGATTGTGATTTTTTCCTCGACGCATTAAAAGGGTCCACATCTATGTAACTACGATATAGCAGGCTTACATGCGACCCTGAAGAGTAAGAGTGAAACGGTATTGATTACAGTAAGCACAACGATAGATAAAATTTACGCGCACGTTACAATCTGAATAACGACTTCGTGGCTGAAGTTGGTACTATGTAATTCTTGTCCGTGTTGTAAGTGCTATCGGCTGGTCCCGGATGGATGGTATCGTCAAAACGCGAGAAAATTGTGTGACTAAGCAGCTTAAAGAACAGTAACTCGCAGCGGTTAGTCGTTCTGTACTGTAAGCGCACCACATCGTCCAGAACTACAGTAAAAAGCGTAAGGCCATGATCTTGAGTCCGCTGTCACTTTTTAAGCTCACACAGGAAGCTACACAATACACACCACAATATGTGCAGCGTTAAATGCTTAGCGTGCAACCGGGTAACACTGTCACGTGCAGAAGCTCTTTTCCAGTTGCTTTTTTCAGTATCATCGTCACATTCTCAGCACTCAAGGAATTTAATTCCATACATATGTTCAGAAGTAAAGTGCTGTTAGGTGGTTCATTCCTTTTCAATTTCACAAAATCCACATAATAACACGTACATATTTATCGACATCTTTCTTGTAACGTCCCACTACTTGTTCCAAAAACGGCATTACTCACTCACTATTCGTGCTATCCTGGTAGAAATTCTATAATGACAACAAATACAAAATACCTTTCATACAAAGTGAAAGCCTAGGTTATACGATTTTCACACGGCCTCTTAAAAAAATAAAATTACCTGAAGTGACTTGTTGGACGTTGAGTCCGTGACCACATCCCGCGCAACCAGCAAACCAAAGAATACTTGTTTTTGACGCGCGTCTGCGTCCTTGCATACATTTTCCATCAAGTACAGAGCAATAAATAATGTCAATTGATTTGTGAGCTATCCCAAGCACAAGATCTTATTTTTTTTGACAATTGCTGTCTTTCCATCATCATACATTAAATTTTGCTTTACTCCACGAGCCAGTCGAGTGTGATGTTTCAGCATATGTGTACTAAGCGCACCATCCGTTTGTATAAGATATAAACAGAATAGTCATTAGTTTCAGCATGAGTAATTCTCCCGATCCAGCGTTTTCATGGCATTACTACTTTCGCGGGATCGTGCATCGGGCCAAAGCATTACAAACTCCTGTTACGTAAGACCTGAATCGCAAGTCGTACAGCACATGGGTTAACTCTGCGTCAGTTCCTGACCAAACCATGCGCACAACTTATGTAACGTACCACTCATGTTCCTGTCGTCACACATGTCTTGCTCACGCATCGCACATCGCGTCGAATCGCAAAGCGCATTCAACAACTATAGCTGGTGCTGATAATGAGACTCAACTCAGGATTATGCTGATAGTGAAATTTACACTACTCAAATCCCGAGCCCCCTATGCTTGAGCGGTTGTAGCGTTTCTAAATTATATTTGGATCATTTGCGAAGGATCAAGCAATCAAGAAAACAAGCCGAAAAATGATGCGCATCACGCTAACAGCGTGAGTGCATGGAAAGCAAGATTGCAAATTCCAGAAAGGAAACGGATAAGAATGCCTTGCAAAAGAGAAAAAGAAACGAATAGGGTCAAGTGCAGTAAGAAATTGTAAGCTCTCCAATCTGAAGATGGACATAATTTAGTACGCCGTAAATGATATATAATAAAGCTTTTCTCAATCGAATCAAATTCTCATCAGTAGGAAAAAGGCAGCAAATTGGGTTCGGTGGAAATGTTATTTGAGGTGTGTTAGAGGACACTGTTCCAGTGGCTTGCCTACGATTGATCGAAGATGGTGCGTTTTTGCCTACACGAGAAGTAGTGGAGAGGTGGAATGGTGAGCAATGTGTGAGGGCCCGGCTGCTTACATCAGCGCATCGTTTATCAGCTGAAGGATGCGCAGACGACAAGACGAATAAAATTTCCTTCGTGATAAAAAAGGCTTGCGTGATTGTCGCAATGCCAGCGATATTGACAGAAGTCTGGGCGACGTAGGTTTATCTGCATAGGGACACCCTACGCCCTTTGTTTGGGGTGCCACGAAACTTTACGTACACTAGTACGTGCGGAGGAAGCTAATCTACTTAAATAGTTAGTTTACGTAAAGGGTAATAAGAGAACTCTAATTAACATCGTCAAGCTATCAGTATAACTTTAGTCTT